CTGTAGGCAGGTCTCTGCCCCACACATTCCTGCCTTCAGTCTCTGAGGTCTCAGCTCAGGAGTCCCTCGTTCCCAGCTCTTCAGCTCCGTTCCTCCTCTGTGTGCCACAGTCAGCAAAGTGCCTGCTGTGCAGGTCGTGCGGGTCGGGCTGCTTGTGGGCTCACTCACCTCCTTGATTCCCTTCTCTTACGAGTCACAGTCCTCACTCGCCAGTTGTCCGGGGTCTGACAACAGCTGTTTTATATCTTTCACTCATTTTTTTAGTTGTTTATGGAAAAAAGGCTCATTTGGATACAGTTATTCCACCTTGGCCAACCTTGGAAACCCATCTTTTTAACCTAAAAAACAAAACCACCTTTTAAAATCATTGTTCTGTTTCGAGTGGTGGAGGTAGGTAGAGGGTTAGCTCAGGGTGCTTATCTCCAGCAGATTATCTACTTTATTGGATTATCTACGTTAAGAATTGTGATACCCCCCCACAACACCCCATTCCTTTTTGCAAACTGAGTGTCTCCCAGAAGCTCTTTTTTCCTCTATTGCATTTGAACTTCTTACACTAATTCCCTTAACGGGTGTTCCTCTGGAAGTTTAGAAACTTGCCGCAGCTCCCAGCAGCCACTGCTGTATTCTTCTGTGTGAGTCCCTGACTGGTTGTTTCACAGTTCTTCCAGAACCCACCGGACCTGAGCTTCTGAAACTTCCTTTAACAGGAGTGCTGTTAAAGGCCACTGCGGACCTCATCCACAGCGGAGTATGTTTTAATATTGATTTGGATTTTAAAACACCTTTGGGAAAAATACCAACTTTGAAGGATTGGAGGCTGTTTGATCAAACAATGTACAAACCAAGTCTGGAGGTGTGGGTATTTTTATGGGATGGACTAAGAGCCCACAGATTGATTACCTTCCCTTTACAGGTGTCCTGAAATCCCAGCATCCTTTGGGAAGGAGCGGCTCTACGTTCACATCAGTCACTCCACCAAGATGAGGTTCAGGCTCCCGTCCTGGGACCTATAAAGTTCTGCATAAGCCAGTGATCTGAACTCGCAGCTTATCATCTAGTTGGGAAATAAGAAAACATTGTGAAAAGATGATTAATAATGTGTGACAGGGCGTGTGAAGTGTGAAGTGGGTGACGGAAGCGGGACAGGAGTTGAGGCGATACAAAGATTGTGGTAGGGGTGGCGGGCATTTGGGAAAGACCTCCCCGAGGGCGAGGAGGTTTCAGGCGAGCTCGAGCTTCCTTCCCGGGCCTCTGTCTCGGGACGGGGCACCCTGTGTGCAGACGCAGGGGTGGTGCGCTTCCGCAGGGATGTACCCCGGCCCGGAGGGTGGGAGGGAGGTGGGGCCAGACGGAGAGGGTCCTGAAATGTATCTCACGGGAAGCTTACCTGTGTTGAAAGTTGTTGAATGACAGAGAAAAAAAATCAGAGAGCTACATTTTAGGAAGACTAGTCTGGCTGCAAGTCTGGATTAGGGTTTTGTTCCCTGATCTGCTGGTTCTCGACTTTGGCTGCACGTTGCAATCACCTGGAGAGTTAAAAAAGAATAGAAATACTGATGCCTGAGCCCCCTCCCCCAGAGTTTCTGATTCAACTTGCCGGCATTAGGCCTGGGTTCTGTTTGGTTTTTATATTTGTTAAATTTTTCAATTACAGTTGACATTTACTAATTACTTTTGGGTATACAATGTAGTGATTAGATATTTACATAATTTAAAAGTGATCACCCCAATAAGTCTGCTACCCACCTGACACTGTACATAGTTATTATGATATTATTGATAATATTCCCCATGTTGTATTTTACATTCCTGAGACTGTCCTTATAACTGGCAATTTGTACGTCTCAATCCCTCCCCCTTTTCCATCCCTCTCCCAACCTCCCTCCCATCCCCAGCCTGCTTTTTGAGAAGCTCCCCAGCTGATTCTAAGGTGCAGCAAAGCCTCAGCACCACCTCCCAGCCCTCTGATAAGATCTTGGTGTGATGTTTGCTCCTTGTGTTGAGCCCCAGCTGGCCAGGAAAATGCAGAATCAACTGGTGGAAAAAAAAACATTTTAAAAGTGCTTTTGTAATATTTATTTGTAATATTCCATATAGTTCAACACCTTAAAACAACCGTTTTCTCATAAATGCCTATACACTTTTACATCGGCCGTGAAGTAGAGGGCGACCACACGTATAAACTTTGGGAAGGGATCCACAGTTATCTTGAGAACGTGGTCCCATGAAACATTTTTTAATTTTTGCATTAAACATAAAAGGGTGATGTAAAGCAAATGCTTTCATCACAGCCAGAATTCATGAAAAGGAGAGCACTGGTAGTGTGAAAACACCCAACTTTCAATTATAGAAATAGAAAGCCTCCAAAACTGTCTGGCGGAGTGCTGCCGGTTTCCAAACACCGTCTGTCCATGGTTTGCAGGCACGAGTGCGTGTTGACCCGCCTGGGGGGCCGTCAGACTGCTGGGCCCGGTTTGCGATGGAGCCGCCCGAGGATGTGCATTTCTTACGTGTTTCCGGGCAATGCTGCTGCTGGCCCCAGCGCTGCACTCAGGAGTGCAGTGTGAGAACCACTTCTGCGTGAGGGCCAACCAAGTAGCATAGGAAGGTGGCTTGATAAAATCTGGTCGCAGGACAGGAGTTTTGCCTTGCATGTCAGGTGAGGGGCTTGTCTTGGCAGGTAGGGAATCTGTCCCTCACCCTCAGCTGCCTCAGCTGAAGCCAGCCCCTCCTGCCGGCATGCTCCAGGGGGCTGCTGCCAGAACCCACTGGGGGTAGAAGCAACAGGAAATTGTCTCATTTTCCTCCTTAGTGTCCTTTTAACATTTATAGCAGCAGGGTGATAGTGTACATAGTCATACTATTATATACCACGTTCTTTTTCTTTCAGTAGAAAATTTTTGTGGTTTTGATTTTTTTTCTTTTATTATTCTTTCTCTGTCTCCCTACCACATACAAAATTTAAAGAGTGACAAAAAAAGTTTCTACCCTTTTAAACGTCTAATCCATCCACGTCCTCCTGAAGACAGGTCTTACTGTGCGTTCTCAGTGGCGTGGGGCGATGCCCAGCCTGCACCCCTGCCCAGGGATCAGCTTTGGCAGACTGCTCTCTGCAGCCTTCCCGGTAGATGAGTCGACATTTGCCGTACACCTTGGGAGGGAGGAGGAGCGGAAATCATTCTCAGATGTTCAACCGAAACACGTTTCGCACTGAAAGCATGCGGGGAATGCGTGCATGAAAGCGCCCGGAGGGGATCTCTGGCAGAGGCCCAGCTCCGAGAGCCCAGGCCAGCCTTCGCCCGCGGCTGCGTCTATGCTCCCTGGGTGGAGCCTGTTTCCATTCCTGGGGCATTCCATAAATACCCGCAGCCGAGAAGGGCCTCGATGATTATCCGTCAGGAAAACGCTGATAAATTAGGATCCTGAACTCTGAAAGGGCATCGCTTTTGACTCTGAATTTTAGAAGCCTAATATGGAAAGAGCCCTTGGGGACATTTTAGAACAAGCAGCTACTGGCCTCCGGCTACCCCCAGACGTGTACAGGTGCAGAGGCCAAGGTTAAATAACTCCCTCCAAGGTCACCTAGGGAGCTGGCTGCATTTTCCTTTCTTTTCTTATTTTATTTTTAAGAATCCTTCTCAACTTTTGGAATGTTTGTCAGCTTAGTGTTCTCACACTTGACACACATTACTATAATGTCCTACTAACATTATAGTAATGTTACTATAACATTAGTTATAGTAAATAATGACACCCGTTTCATGTCATTATTTACTATAACTAGTAGGACTCATACTGTAGGAAGATGGGAACAATACTGTCTCTCTTTAATAAAACAAATCGTTAGGTTTCAGAGCTTCTCGGTCCTCTATTACTGAGTCTCCTGTGGTTCACATCCCTCATCAGTTTTGTAATTGTCTGGGGACCAAATCCCGTGTTGAATTTTCTGGGTTAATTTAGTATTGTGGTCTCCTCTCGGGACCAAGAGTTTCAGTCAAAGGTGTAATTGCTAGCCAAAGGTTGGCATACAGAAATGTATTTGGGCAAAGAAGGGACTGAAGCAATCATGTCCATAGGCCCGTGACTTTAACCTAATACGATTATGTGAGTTACATCTGAACTCCCACGGGAACTATGATAAAAACCCACTTACCTTCCCCATGACTCAGTCCTGCTAACTTTAAAGCCCTGCTTGGCCACAAGGCTGGTGATGCAAAGTACACACGTCCTAGCAAATACGAGATAAAGAGGTTGTTTCTTTTCGGTTGCCTTTCATTATAAAATTAGGGATGGTGTACAGTGCACTGGCAAAGGAATAAAAATGTGTATTGGATGACTCTCAGCCTATTTCATCTTGAATTCCTCTCATGTAAATAACAAGTGGGTTGGACCAGCTTTCTGGAAGATCGTGTCTAAGCTCTGATAGCTTGTGTAAGATGAAGTCTGTAGCACGTTCTGAGGGGTTGGGATTGGGCTTGGGCTTCTGTTCTTTTGCCAAGTCTTGCTTGGATATCTAAAATTTAAACGTAAGCCACAGCATATCAATTGAAAAGACGGGCAGAGCATTTTCTTAAGTTTTCCCTGTGTTTCTGATGCATTTCTGAGAGGCAGCTACAGTAAAGGGACAAAGAACAGGGACTTGGGGGCCTGTACGCTTGGATAAAGATCCCAGCGCTTCTATGTCCTGATAATTGTGTGACCTTTGGCAAACTACAAAACCCGTGTCTGTTTCTTCGTCGGTAAAACGGTCAGAATAAGACATCTGCAGAATGGCTGTGGGGGGATTCCATTGGTTGATAAATAGTAGGATGGTGCCTGACACACAGGAAGATGTTAATAAACATTAGCTGCCATCACTGTCCTCATCGTTTTGATGTCTTTAAGTGTGGTGGTAATTTATCACTGAATACCCGGATGATACCGTTAAGCCCAGGGAAGAATCAGTGAAGTCTGTAACGCTGTTCTTCAAACCTGTGTTCTCTGTTATCTCTCCACAGCCAACTGCGTTCCGCCATGCCAGAACGGAGGGATGTGTCTCCGGCCTCAGCTCTGTGTGTGCAAACCAGGGACCAAGGGCAAAGCCTGTGAGGTAACGGCGGCCCAGGACACCGCGTCACCCGTCTTTGGAGGGCAGAGTGCTGGGGCTGCTTCCTCCTGGGCCCCTGCTGAGCCATCAGTGAAACACACTTCGTCTAAGAAGGCAGACACGCTACCAAGAGTCAGTCCCGTGGCCCAGATGACCTTGACCCTCAAGCCGAAGCCTTCAGTAGGACTCTCCCAGCAGATACATTCTCAGTGAGTGTTTTGAACCGGCCTCCAGCTCAGGAGCATCTTCGCCGCTCTCTTAGATGAATGGCTTTAGACCACTCTCCTCTTCCCGCACCGTTTGCAGAAGTCACTGGCATAATAATGCCCGTCTTTCCTTTCCTTAAGATTTTACATGTCATGCTTACACACCCAAGTCTCTTAAAGAATCCCTGATGTGTGTGCTTAGCCTCTGCAGGGGAGAGGTACTATTATATAAGCACAAACCAGGGCACTAGTGAAGATTATAGGGCTCCAAGTTGGAAGGGAATAATAAAGAGAATCGTCTGATTGTGGTGGAGCTGTGAGTTAAGAACATTCTTTTCTTGGCAGGGGTGCTCTAGGGTGTTGAAAGAATAATTTAAAAAAGGAAAATGGAGTGATTTTAAAAGCTATATGGGAAAGGTGGGAACTCCACTTTGCACAGAGAAGGTATTCAAATGAAAGCGAGTCCTTGGAAGGAGAGAAGTTCCAACCCCGGTGGCAGGTTAAGTGTACCTTCCAGTTGCTGTGCAGGTCCGTGTTTGCTGAATGAGCTTGTGTCCTATTTTGGGAACATGGTCTTTTCTTAGCATTAATGAAGTGCTATTCTGAACAAAATGAGAGCCCTTGGAGAAAGAATGATTCTTTCTGTCCCGGGGAATCGCATTAGAAGCAGCTTCTCGGCTGCCCAGGATCCTTACACAGAATGTTTCCTTTTAATTAGCCACTCTGCGTGGATGACAAGATGCAGAGTTTACTGCAACTATCACTTGTCATTTGCCTAGGAATGTAAAACACAGGAAGTTCTCAACTAAAAAACGGGCTTGACCCAGCAGTTCATTTGTAAGCTTGAAATTTTCAGTGTTGTCTCCCTGTTAGAAACAGCTTCCACATGGTGATTAGCATCCAGTCAGACCACAGACATCATTTACTGTGTTCCTATAGATGAAATTATCCTAATTGATACTTCCCATTTGAATAGGCCACCTACCGTCTCCGCTGAGTGGGGTCCTTGTAACTTTTTCTTTCTCCTTTTGTTCCCTCCTGAATCCTTTTTGCTTTTGTTCATTTTTCTCTCATTCCTTCTTGTCTCATCCTTCAGTTCTCCCATGATAAATAGATTGGTGGTGGTAGTGGTGGGGGGGAGGGCTAGTTTGAAACCTAACCACTTTACTAGCATTTCAGTTGGAAAACATCAAAATATCCTGCAGCTCACAGCAAGCAGGAATGGTAGTTATAACTGATAACTGAGTACTGGTTTTCCTAAGTAGTGCTTAGTAACTTAACCAGGTACTGTTTCAAGTGCTTTATATATATTTTTAGTTAACAACTCACAAGGACCCCGTAAGGTAGCTACCGTTGTTAACCCCATTTCACAGATGAGGACAATGAGGTGCAGCGTGGCTAAGCAATTTGTTCAAGGTCGCATAGTTAACAGGGGAATTATAATAATAAGTATTTGGATTTCAGTGGAGGCAGGATAATGGAGAGTAAGAGTTAGGCTTTCAGGGGAGGCAGGCAGGATCCAGCATCCGTGCCCAGAAGTGGAGGGCAGCAAACGTTTTCCGTACAGGGCCCAAGAGCTTCAGCTTTGACATATGGTTTCTGTTGCAGCTTCTCAGCTCTGCCATTATAGCACAAAATCAGCCACAGACGATGCCGGAATGAATGAGTGTGACTGCTCCAATAAAACTTTATTTATGGCTATTGAAATTTGAATGTCATATAAATTTCACATGTCACCCAGTATTAGTCTTCTTTTGATTTTTTTCAACTCTTTAAAAATATAAAAATCTTTCTTAGCTTGTGGGCCATACCAAAACAGGCTGTGGGCCAGCTTTTTGGCCCATGAGCTATGGTTTGCTAACCCCTTCTCTGAAGGATAGTAGTGCTTTTTTCCGTGCCAGAACACGAATGTAACTGTGTCTTTGAAATGATATAAGGCTTTGATTATATCATACCGAGACATCTCTCTTCCAGCATTGTTCTGGATCTTAAAAACAAAGAGGAGTTCTGTGTCGAACTATGCCTTGGCAATCAAGAGTCAGATTACTGTGCATTGCAATTATTTTTCTTTTCCTAGCATCATTACTTACATAAACTGTGAAGTAATTTACAAGCGACATCATTCATCTTGAATATCACCATCCACTATTAGACTCCGACCCTCTGTGATGTGTATATATGGCTTGTTAGTGAGAACCATATGTCAGATGTCAAATAAAGGAGTGACCTTTCTCTTTTTTTTCTTTCTTTTTTTTTTTTTTTTTTGGTACCAGCAGTATAATTTAGACAAGAATGTTGTGAGTCAAAGAGGAGGCTAAGGTTTCAGCTCTAACTTGGGGAAAAGAGAAGTCATTATAGGCATACCTTGCTTTATTGCACTTCCTTTTATTGTACTTAGCTGCTTTATTATGCAAAGTATCTGCAGATACTGCATTTTTTTTTTTAACAAATTGAACGTTTGTGGCAACCCAGTGCTGAGTGTGTCTGTTGGCACTGTTTTTTCCAGGAGGCTCAATGATGCTTAGTATTTTTTAGCAATCAAGTATTTTTAAAGATGTATACATTTTTTAGACGTAATGCTATTTATTGCATACTTAAGTGACTGCAGTATAGTATAAACATAACTTTTATATGTGCAGTGAAACCAAAAAGTTTGTGTGACTTGCCGTATTGCATTACACACTTTGGGGGACTGAACCGGCCATGTCTCCGAGGCATGCTTGTAGGTAGACAATTTGCTTCAGATGCTTCATCTGCTGAGTGAAGATGCTTTTTATGAGAGCATTACTATGGGCTTGTGTCTGTGGGCATGTCTGCCTCGAGCTTTTGGGTAAGGAGAAGAGGTGGCCTAAGATCCTAACAATTCTATTTTTTTAAAAAAACATTTTATTGTTTCTGCTATTACAGTATAATTCTGTTTTCTTAATAAACTTTTATAGGTTGCCCTGGTATCTGGGAACTGCTGGGAGTATTAAGATGTGTAAGATCCAGTTCTGTTCTTCAGGAGATTTTGAAATGACGCACGAGCTGTAACTGGAGAGGGATGCGAAGGGCGGGGGCAGTTCGTCCCCTGAGGAGTTTAGGGGATGACGTGATCGCCTGAAGTCACATTCACTCACGCTGCCAAGGAAGCACGTGTGATAGGACCGTTTTGCCTCCTTTTTTGAGAAATGTAACGATTCTTAAATGATATATTTTTAAGATTGCCTACTTTTAGGGTGTTTCAAAGCTTTGTTTTGCTTTTACCTGGTAAAGAAGGAGATGGAGTAAGTGTCCTTAAAATGCTTGTAGACATGAAAACCCCTACAATATCAAAATGCTTAGTTAGGGTCATGTCCGTTACTTAGGTTACGCAATGCTACAGTCTCCATCGTTGGCTCAGCGAGTTTTTGTCGAGCATATGCTATGTGCTGCGCACTCTTCTGGGGACTTCTGTTCGGTGCTGACCAACTGCACAAAGTACCTGCCTTCCTGGAGTGTGTAGTCTGGAGAGGGGGGCACGACAGACAATGGCGTAATTAAAACATAGTTAGGTTTGGTCCAGCACTGTGAAGAAAATAAAGCTGCAGTCATGGACGAGTGCTGGTTCGGTGTGGGGAGGAAGGAGTGAGGGTTCTGGTGGTTTGAAATAGGCTGGCAGGGAAGGCCCTGCCGAGAAGGAGGCATTGAAGCAAAGGCCTGGAGCAGGCAAGGGCGTGGGCCATGAAGGTGTGTGGGGGTGGGCAGAGGCCCCGAGGCCTGCGTGTGTCAGGGATATTTGAGGATCAGCTACATTAGTAAAACTGGAGTGTTGGAACTACCCATTTTAGGCAGGGGGGTATTAGATGAATTGGTTTTATCTCTGGCTGAATTGGTGTTGACACCTTGACTCAGGACCAGATACAAAACTGTTTAGAAAGTCAGAGGAAGGGGCCATTGTTTCTAGATTTTGGAAAGTTGGGAAATGGAGGTCTGGGGTGGCCCTGGAAAACGTGGTCTATGAGTCTGAGAAGATGGTTAAACTTGGATACAAAGCACGGGAGCAGAAGGGCATCTCCAGGCAAGGCGATGACGGGGTGTCAGAAAGGACGGTGCCTACTGTTGTCTACTGTTGTGTAACAGATCACTCCCGAATCTAGCAGCTTAAAGCAATAAACATTCGTTGTCTGACAGTCTGTGGTTAGGAATCCAGGAGGCACTTCGCTGGGAGTTCTGGCTCGGGGTCTCGCGTGCGGCGCACTCAGCGGAGTCGGTGTACTGGCTGTGCGGTGATGGGCCATTTCATTCATGCTTTTCATGGAGATTTATTATCACAGTGTGTCTTTTCCCAGTTTTGTGGGCCATATTGTGAATACTCCATGAGCTGAAGAAAAGACCAGATGATGATGCTTCATCTGTCTGTATATGCGTTTTGGCAGTCAATTTTCTGACTCTCTGAACTCTTACTTCACTTTGTAATACTGGATTCTTTATTCTATTTTATTTATTTATTTTTAGAGAGAGGGGAAGGGAGGGAGAAAGAGAGGGAGAGAAACATCAATGTGTGGTTGCCTCTTCGCACACGCCCTACCAGGGCCCCGACCTGGCCCACAACCCAGGCACGTGCCCTGACTGGGAATTGAACCGATGACCCTTTGGTTTGTAGGCCGGTGCTCAATCCACTGAGCCACACCAGCCAGGGCTGTAATACAGGCCTCTTTGGAAAGTCCATATTAACACTTCAGGTCAGTCTCATAATTGCATCCTGTAGATGTTATTCACACGTAGCTGGCAATAAGAATTGCCACTGTGTGGTCACAGGTATATCCCCAGTGTCTGTCTTGAGTCCTCCCTGTATTAAAAAGGTGTTAATTCTTATAAGTTAAAGTCAGGAGACTCCATAATGGAGCAACATACAAAACTGTCCAGCCTTCCAGAGCTTATTCATCTGCTGATGCCATTATTCACATATATCCTGAAGTTTCCTGTGAAAGTTTGTTTTCAACCTTGGTGCTGCCCAGTGAGGCTGTTTTGACTTGTGCACA